TGTGTGTGTGTCTGTGTGTGTGTCTGTGTGTGTGTCTGTGTGTGTGTCTGTGTGTGTGTCTGTGTGTGTGTCTGTGTGTGTGTCTGGGTGTGTGTCTGTGTGTGTGTCTGTGTGTGTGTCTGTGTGTGTGTATGTGTGTGTGTCTGTGTGTGTGTCTGTGTGTGTGTCTGTGTGTGTGTCTGTGTGTGTGTCTGTGTGTGTGTCTGTGTGTGTGTCTGTGTGTGTGTCTGTGTGTGTGTCTGTGTGTGTGTCTGTGTGTGTCTCTGTGTGTGTCTCTGTGTGTGTCTGTGTGTGTCTGTGTGTGTCTGTGTGTGTCTGTGTGTGTCTGAGTGTGTCTGTGTGTGTCTGTGTGTGTCTGTGTGTGTCTGTGTGTGTCTGTGTGTGTCTGTGTGTGTCTGTGTGTGTCTGTGTGTGTCTGTGTGTGTCTGTGTGTGTCTGTGTGTGTCTGTGTGTGTCTGTGTGTGTCTGTGTGTGTCTGTGTGTGTCTGTGTGTGTCTGTGTGTGTCTGTGTGTGTCTGTGTGTGTCTGTGTGTGTCTGTGTGTGTCTGTGTGTGTCTGTGTGTGTCTGTGTGTGTCTGTGTGTGTCTGTGTGTGTCTGTGTGTGTGTGCTTGCTTTTTAGCGGACTCAAAAAAAATCGATTTGGTTTTCCTGTTGACCTCTCTTTAAAACCAACAAAAAAGGGGCCCCTCAAAAAAAGAATAGCCACCGGTCCGCCTCCACAGGCGGAGCTCGTGTGCTGACAGAGCTTCCTGTCGCCTCGCACATGTCTGGTGGCAAATGGGCATGAATGTTCATAAGGAGTTTTTGGTGGACATCATCTAGTCGGGGATTCATATCCACCTACCACTATTGAGGTGATTTACCCTTAAAAAGCCATAGCCAATAGCATCGGAATCATTTCAGTTGTCTCGAAGAGTAGAGTTGCTCCAGAAGGACATCTGGAGCGATTTGTTCACAGCTGGAAATTCACCAACCCTCAGCTCAAACCATTTCGACCTCCACAACTCTGATGTGCCTGCTTGCCCATGTCGGTGATGCGCATTTCTTAACACGGCTCGCCACTCGGGGTTAGCTAAGCATCTGGGCTCATGGTCAACTTGGGAGCAGAATCTTGAATCCCTGCCCCCTGTACAGGCCACAGTCCTCTTTTATCTGTGCAATGCACTGTGAACAATCTGGAATAAAACAAAGTGCAAATTCCAATGACGAAACCCGGAGCCGCAGCGAGCTACACAAAGATGCTCGCGGCCCTTGGACGCGGCAGGCCTCACCAGCGCCAAAGGCCTCCTGCCAGCGCGATGTCGTGTCATGGAGCCTGTGGTTGGTTGATCCCAAACTTCGCAAGGGAAGGCCCTCAGTCGTGCTGACCTTGAACAGCCGTAGATCAAACCTTGCATGCAAGCGTGACTTCTTGGCTTTATCGTGGTGCATCCTCCTTGTCGGCAATGTCGCACTCGCCCCAGTCGATCAAGTTGACAACCTTTCCACACAGGACCAAACAGCAAGCACTGGGTTTAGGGTTTAGGGATTTGCCTACGAATGTGACGAGAAGAACACTAGTTCATATATTAGTGAAAGGGCATTGTTCAGCTCTCTGGAGGTACGAAGAAAACCACTTTGCTGAGGGATATACACGCCTTAAAAGCTTATGTTGGTGGCATATTGAAGCCTCCAAATCTCCGAATTCCACAATTGGAGAATATTGGGGAAGGAAAAGGATGTCCACGTTGATCAAGCCAGCAAAATCATTGTATTTAATCCTTCATCTTCGAGTGCAATAGCACGTAAAGCCCCAAAAAGTCACCCAAAAGCAAACAAAACAAGGCATTGTATCCGGCCTTGACCTCCCTGACGGTCTCCGACTTTCGCCCAAACATCTCGGCAGGCAGCGAATCTTGACCAAACCTGGGCCAGCGATGCGGAATGAGCAAGTCCTTGCTGCTTCTTGTAATGGATGAAGCGGCTGAAATTTTGAATGACGTTTTTATGAAGGTATTTCCACACTTAGAAAAATTTGATTTGAGTAATACGCTTTCATTCTGCATTGCATCTTTTTTCCCAGACTTGAGAACGCCCCGAGCACCTACAGGGAATCAGCAATTGACACCTGATTCAACAAGAGGAGAAGCATAGCGCCTCCTGTTGGTGATCAATCTTCTTGCATTGGAGCGCAACCAATAAGAAAACACCCTTTCTGAATCAAAACAGGCTGCAATGACAACGACATGGATGGTCAAGGCCATTCATCACAATTCGAAGCCGCCAGCCCAGCCCCCATTTTGAGAAGGTTCATCGGCCCCGGGAATGTGGCAGGAGGACCATCTCAACTTCTGCCCAGCGGCATGCGGAAGCCGACGTCATCGTCAGAATCGTAATCTAGCACAGCAGGTGCCTTGCGCGGGTAGCGAATGCCAGACCACAATTCCCTCAAACAGCTTTCCCCAACAGGACACAAGACAAACTAGGGTGACCTCCCACATCAGTCTGGAGCAGGGTAACTTACCGCCTGGATTCTTGTGGCAAATGCTACCACTCATTTTGTCTGGTTTTCACGCGGCCGCATCAGGACTCCCATCCTTCTTATCGTCCTCCAAGAACCAGTCGTCGTTAGCATCCTGGCAGAGTCCAGACGGAGTAGTCAGCTCCCCCTGCCATTTTTCCGGCAGCTATGTCAACACGAAGATATGAAGCAAGTTTCTTACCAGTTGTCTCAAACCCCTACCTTATGCCCCAAGCCGGCCAATGCCCTCCAAACACAAGTAGAACCCGAGAAAATCACGCACACACCCCGAACGATAACGCGAAGGTCCGTTCAGTCGACACAATCCCTATACCCCTTCTTGTCCAGGGTATGGAAAGACAAATTGGGTGCACCTCAAACCAGTGGGAATGGGCAACCCCCTGCAAAGAAACAACCCACGTGTTTTGTTGTTGCCCCGAATCCGCGATATATAACCTTGGCTTTGTGAGGAAATATTATTTCATTTCCTCGCAAGGCTCCATCTGCATCCTCAGCAACTTCATCAGGTTCGCTCTAAAGTTTGGAATCTTCCATGAACCTATGTGCTTCTGTCTTCTTTGAAGGTACCCTTTTGGGGATTGCTTTAAAGGGAACGCCGAAAGGAAAACCACCAATTTCCCATGTAAAGCGAGGGTGTTTTGGAAATCCGAAGCATGGGTTTGGCTGGATGTGGAACCCGCAAACTGGTTGTTTCCACGACCTTCCCTTTCAACCCCACAAAAGCTTCCTACCGGAAAGGAGTTCCTGTGGTTTTTCAGAATAACTCCAATTCCAACACAAACAAGCCACGGCCGTCACCCATTCGGCCTGGCTCGCTCGCTTCTTCGCGGCTTTCTTGGCCGCAATGGCCTGCTGCGCTTCAGCCTCGAACGCAGAGAAGGGGATCCAAAAGGATTGGCTCCCAGTCTCCCGGATTTCACAGGGCACCCAGGAGATGGAGGGTTGTGACATATGCTTTTCGGAGAACTCCGATGAAAATGCCAAAAAAGGGCACCAAGCCTGAAAACGAGGAGGGGCCGGGAGTGAGATTGAAATCAACTCAGATGGTTGATTTCAAGCCTTTGGATCAATCAACCACGGGTTAGCAGAAATCAGCGGGCCCTGCCCATAACTTTCTGGGCGCCATTCGCCTTTCCCGGTTCGCAGCCCAGCTTTCTTAGCACAAAGGCGGCTTTGAGAGATCCTAGATTCCTCGTGGGAAGGCAAACTCCTCTAAACCTTAGATTTGCTCGATGTTATCTTGTCGCAATCAAGCATCCACAGCAATCATGATAATGACTCCCTGGTAGATTACATGTTTGTTTCTCCAACCAGCCTAGAAAACCACCTGTACAACCATGCTCACCTTCACGGCATGATAAACGAAGAACACGTGCGGAATTCCTGTAACGTCACCTTGAGTTGTGGGAACACAGCATCGCCTTGAGGAAAGAGTTTGCAACATCGCCATTTCCCCTTCTTACTTGAGGGCGCAGCAACTCATAGAAATGGGCCTGATAACTGGTGCCACATACTGGAAACGCCGCTTTTATGCAGGCACGGGCAGCATGTTGAAAACAGGTAGCATGTTGCAAACTGGATGACCCGAGCTTTATCAGGAGTCAAAATAAGTCAAAAGCAAATGTAGCAACAAAGTGGATAAAGAAAGAAACGACAAAGGCAACTATGAAGACAAGCAAATGCCACAAAGGCCCACGCCTCCTTCTTGTCCTTGTCTTCCTGAGCTTTTTGCTTCAACTTCAAGAAGTTCTGGAGATGCTCCTGGCAAAGGCACTTCAAAGAACGATGCTCCGCCTCCAAAAGCGCGCTTCCCACCAACATCCACACCTCAGGACCCTGTTGTCTCCCTCGGGCGGTACTTCCCTGGAAACTCATGGAAAGCCTAGAGGCCGCTAAGGACATATCGCGCACTTCAAAAGGCGGGATTTATGCCACAAATCTCGCGCACACTCACAAGCTCTCACTGACAAGTTCCTACTCCGCACCTCCGAGATCACACCTTTGTGCTCTGTCCAAGGCCGTCCGCACTGTTTGCATTTCTCCTGGCCGAAGCACTAGCACACAAACAGCACGGAGTGCGGCCCATTCCGTGCGGTCCTTCTTGAAGGCATTGGGCTCGAATTTGCTGCAATCCTCAGTATGACAGACAGGCCAACGTCGAAGAGACATGGACAAAGAAACATTGCACATTGCAAATCCAAGGCGCATCAGGATTGGGCAACAGCTCATCCATCCTTACAGGTTCAGTCCGAACACTATCAGTGCAACCAAGCAAGCTCAAATTGAGAACCGTGCAAAGAGAAGAAAACTGACAGGAGTGGCAATAAAAATAAAAATAGAAATAAAACCAGACCAGAGGATTAGATCAAAGGAGATTAGAGACCAGACCACGCCAAGCTAACAAAGAAACAAACAAACAAACAAACAAACAAACAAACAAAACAAACAAACAACAAGCAACAACCAAAGACAAATCAAAACAATGCAAAACAAGACAAAACAAAGCAAGACAAAACAAAACAAGACAAAACAAAACAAAACAAAGAAAAAACAACTCAAAAGCAACAACAAACCACTACAATAGACTAGATTAGATTGGACTAGACTCGATTATATTAGACTAGACTGGATGAGATGAGATGAACACAGAAAATGTATAATATATATATATATGGCAGACAGATAGATAAATAGATAGATAGATAGATAGGATAGATACATAGCTAGCTAGATACACAGATAGATAGACAGATAGCTAGATGGATAGATAGACAATGATAGATGATAGATTAAGTAGGTCACGACTGGCATTCTGGTTCTACCATCCCGACTTGAAAGGCCAACCCGCCTTCGCGAGGCGCGCAGCGCCGGAGCGCCGGAACGCCAGGCGCGCGGCGCAACAAACGCGCCACGCCAGACTGAGCCACGAAGCGAGGGGCGGCCTCTGGCAAATGTCCGTGTCGTTTGTGTTTTGGTCTTGATTTGATTCGCAATGCTTCGGGATAGCCCCATTGCTATATCCGTCACGTCAAGCATTGGCGAGGCGTCCCAAATATGAATTCCTATTCAATATATTACAAGCAAGCTATGCGAAAGCCAGACAATGGAAATCACGATAGTCCCAATTGTGCGGTTTGGATGGTCCCATCCTCGCTTGAAACCCGAACATATGAATTCATGTTGCATATCAATCAAATTTCTGCCAGGCACCAGCAAACACAAGCCCGGTCCACCGCCCCCAAAACCACTTAGAAGTGATTGATAATGTTGAACCAGGATGAATGAAGCCAGCAGATTCGCAAATGATTTGTTTCACGAAGCAGACCTCCTGTCTCAACAACTGATATGGGTCAGCTGTAGCTCCATCAATGCAACTGTTCATCGATTGACAGGCTGGTAGCCGGATGGAAACCAAGCGGCAGAATCATTGGTTGTGGCCATGATATAATCGGAAACACAACAACCTTGTTATGGGCAAAAGTGATGCGCCGGCCATATGTGTCCACAGTGGGCAAAAAAGAAAGCCACGCAGCTTCAAACCAACTGCGCGGACGTTGTTTTCTTGCAGGTCAGTTCTGCAGGCATGTATGTTTCAATACACATTTATTTGTATCTTAGAACGCCACAACCACGTTATGCAGAACCACTCACATGAAAAACGCCAAGTCAAAGAAGGTTTGCCACTAGCAACAAGGCAAGCATTTTGATGGACGCAAACGAAAAGCGAACGTTCCTCAAAACTAGCCTTATACGCGGTTTTGTATTGTCCACCCGTGTCTCGAGGCTGAAACTGCGAACCTGCAATAAGCAAAATCAAAACTGGCCAAATATGATGCAGCTAATAATCACCATATGACAGGGGCCCTTTCAAAAATCGGCTGGTGCATTTTGCCACGCGGCTTACCTACGCGCCTCTCTACTTGTAGAAACAGCTTAAAATGACAAGACGCACCAAGTATTTTGCCCGATACCAATGTGCCGCAGTGCTCCAACATGAGATTGATGTCAAAATACAAAACAGTTTTCAATTGCGCCCATAAAATTGCGCCATGGCGAGTGTAGTGCTGTTTTTGGGTGCAGGTTGTTGGTGCCACTGGAGAAAAGCTCATTAAATTGTATTGTACACACGTTTTCTGTCTTACATCTTCTTTGCGTGGACTGGCGATGCAACGGCCGCGTGGATCAAGAAAGTTACAATTGTATGTTACGCAAACAGCGCAGACGGCCCTACCAACCAGATTCAATACAATCATCTGTTGACACACGCACCCAACCAACCAAAATCTTTAGTTTTACCAACCCAAACCAAACCAAGCCAAACACACCTTTTTCGGCTTTTGTTTTTTTTGAACCACGCCGCCGTTACGATATCGCCAGTCCGCCGTTGGAGCGCAAGAACGAAAAGACAGAACAAGTGTCGAAGATACCACCAACACAAACAACAATAACAAACCACAAACAAACAAACAAACAAACACAACACCCACAAACATTTTTGACACAGGGGGCATAAAGCTGCCAAGCACCACCACTGGTAGGCTAGCGGCAAATGTAGAAAACTACGAACTCCGACTCGGAGACGGAAGTTTCAACGAACCACGAGACCCAAGAAACTCCGACATCGAAGGCCACGTAAGGGCCATAAACTGCCAAGTTCGGAGACAGATGTCTCAACAAACCAGACAGATAAACTTGGCCAACTTGGCCAAACTGCCAAGCAGGCAAATGAACTCGAAGACAAGCCAGGAAACAGGAGTCTCAACTGACCATCTGAAGTGCCGAAGCACATCTGAGTGAAACCGAATTCGGGTGAAACAAATGCCCAAATTCAACGCCGCGCACAAATCTATGTACGGAAATCCAAATCCACGAAGTGTCGAAACAAGCTCTTCAATGTACCACTGAATCTGCACCAACGAAACAGTAAGAAAGGACAGAACTTAATACGGACACGAGAAATGCAATCAGTAGGTCGCACAACTCGCAGTGATCATAGCGACACCCAAAAGAAATAGCACCGGGAACAAAGTCACGAGAACATTCCTCCATGGCACGTTCCTGTAAGAGTGAATAGCAGTGTATCACGAAAACGACCAGCGCCGAGAAGCTCGAATACGCTCACGGAAATCGTGGACAAACCGAAAACAACGATAAATCAGGATTAACACCGCAGTGCGCCAGATCGTCGTGTGACAGGCCAACACCACCAGCGCAAATCCAGGAACACTGCAAGCTAAATCAGTTAGAATCTTGATCACTGCTTCAATCCGAACGACAAACATGTATGCACGCTCTTTTTCTTTATGAGGCGTTGCTTGGAAGTCAAGGCTCGGAGGTGCAGGGGGAAAGACAGCGCGTGTCCTTTCCCCGTGTCTGCACCCCACTGCGGAGCCTTCTGCGGCCGGGTGCAATGTAGGCATCCGGCTGGTGTGCGTTGCAACCAGCATGGGGCACACGGCGCCAGGCCGGGGGGGTGCCCGCAGGGGCCGTATCCGAATTGCCCTGCAGCATGCAGTGGCCGCCCAAAGAGCACGCAGACCTGCCTCACGAACTCACAGAATGCATGGGCAACTGGAAGGCCGCCGAAGCCGAGCCCGACACAGTGTCGGCCCTTTTGGAAAAAGAAATCTCCAACGGATGGGTCGTCCGCACAGAGATGTCCATCGAACAGGCGAGGCAGCACTGGCATAAAGGCATTCCAGTAGGCAAACTCAATGTCGTGCATGCAGAAGGGAAGGACGCTTGGTCCTAGACAGCACCGTGTGGTGAACCCAAAGTGCAATATCCCAGAATGCCTGCCCATGGCATCCGATGTGCGCCTAGCGTTTATGCCAGAAGACACGCACGCTTCATGTATAGGCGCAAGTTTTGACTTTAAAGCCGCACACAAGCATTCAGGGTTTGTGGCATGCCTTCCGGCACGGACAACACAGCCTCAGAGGCAGGCGTGAACAAATTAAATTGTTCACGACGGCGTGGCCTTTGCAGGTTTTTGTGCAGTTAGTCGCCGCGTGGGCCTATAAGCACAAATGGTCAGTGCTAGCCGCACATATCCCAGGCGAGCGCAACGTGTGGGCTGATCAGCTCAGCCGCGGCAATACGTCCGCTTTCGACAGCAAGCCGCAAGCTCGCCTTCGTTTTCGCCCGCATGATTTCTGGCCCCACCAACGCAAGCTTTCGCTGCATCCGCCCGACGCCCCATGGCGACCGGAGCATATAAGTGCTTCGCAAACGCTCTGAAGAGGGGGTTTGCTTGGAACCCTGAAGTGGGGGCGTATGAGAAGGCTTTGCAGTGGGGTGCAGACACAGGGAAAGGACACGTGCTGTCTTTCCCCCTGCACCTCCGAGCCTTAACTAGCAACGCCTCACAAAGGAAAAGAGCGTGCATACATATTTGTCGGTCGCACCTCTTGTATCTTTGGCTGCATGTTCCCTTTCGGTTTCAAGCCACCAAAGGGTCATGCGTGCGGGTTACCTCACTTTTTTGCGCCCACCTCCCACCCTTTCAGTGGATCCTCCAGGGCCGCGGCTGGCGCCCCAGCGTTATTGCGCTTGCCTTCCACTTTCCGTGTGCCTTGCTGCACACTGGCGGACGCACGCTTTGCATCTTCCAGGTCCAGCCTCAGTTTGATGTCCGGGTCGTCCGATGCGGTTGCTAGGGCATGCAACAGTGACAGTCGGTACGGCTGGCCGCTGTCGGGAGCCAGACTGGCTGGGGCGGGTTTGTTGACCGCCCCAAACGCGATCATCGCGCCTCCCGGGCGGAGAACTTCTCACCTAACGCACCTGCATCAAAGAAGATGCAATCTGGTTCAAAATCCGGCGCCTGAACCCATTACCAATGGCTGTTCCCAAAGAAACCGAAACCAAAAGCAGCAAAAAGGAACCCACAGCCAGCATGGCCTGCCACTGCACGTGTTGCGCATCCAAGTACCTCAGCGAGCTCCACATAGCCAAAAACACATGATCAAGCGGCTGAGTGACAACCCTGAAAATACCAGAATTTGCATCAGCTGCTTGTCCACCGGAAAGTGGAGTAGCGGCAAAGGTGGCTCAGGCTTATCGGAGCTGACGTGTGCGAGAATTTTGGGGATCAAATTTTTGGTTTTTGCCCGCTGCAGCCAAGCGTGCGCTATTAAAACTTTGGGTGTCTGTTGGGATACAAGCTGCGGCTGCACGGTTTTTTAAGCTCGAGCCCAGCGGTCCACACAAGGCGGCGTGGCAATCTTCGAGTCGAGCATGGCATCTAGCACGGGCCTGTCCGTCGCAAGCATCAAACAATCCGTGCGTCCAGCACGTAGCTGCTCGGTGCAATCACCCAAGCAAGCGCGAGCATCGTGGGCGTGACAGCCAGTTCCTAAGACCGCGGAATACCCCGCGACTGGCCGCAAGCCTGGTGATTCAAAGTTCGACGAGCCACTGCCTTGAACAGTTCTCCTCCTCTATGATTTTCTCGGCTCTGTGCCACCCGAAGCTTCTTCGGGAGATAGACCTGGCACTCCGTGCATGCAGGTGGGAGTGCGCAGGGCTTTGGACCTCCAGGTACCGCACACCTTGACGGCGGAGCCGGCTGATGATGCCTGACCAGGAGACCAGGTCAAAAGCTTCGAGTCGTGACAGGCCTTGCTTGTCGGCCGCTGCCGAAACGGGTGTTCTCCTTTGATGTGGGGCAAGATGGGCTCTTCATCCTTGTCAGCGGCATTTTTATCAAAGGCTGGCAAAGCGAATCTGCAGTCATGGCCGTTTTATCAATCTCTTCCGGACTCGCCGCAGCTTCCCGGCTACAATTTGGGAAGTAACGCAAAAAGGACGACTGGGGAACGCGGCGCTAGCTCCCAGAAGCTGAGGCCAGCGCTGCCGTGCGGGTCAATCAGAATTCCTACTCTGCTGGAGGCTGCGCAACCATAGAATGCTTCCTCCTCGTAC